TTGGTCGACGTCATTGGTTGAGAAAAGAGCGATGTCCTGTGATGGTTCCGTGAAACATACTGGCCCAGTGTCTTGACTCGGTACCAGGTTATCTGGGAGTCCTCCCAGAACTGGAATGCCTAGTTCAAAATCATGAAAATCAGGTTCTAAGTTTTCAGTTTGCGATGACTCATCATCGTTTGTGTGTGTGTTTACCCCCCCTTCGTCCGATGAGGGGTTGTTGGAGGCAACAACAGCAATGTCTTGGTATGTTTCACCGACATCTGTAATGTTGTCATTCGCGCCTTCAGAGTTAGTAGCGATCAGATCACTACATTGTGCTCCTGGTTGGATTCCCATTTCAGCGTTTTTCAAAGTTTCTACAAACCTTTGTATTTTCTCTGTCTCCTCCGAGCTCAGAGGTGTAGGGCTTTGCTCCTGGGACCTTTGTGATTTGATCGCCTCGGTTCGTTTCGTCCGAGGTGGGGGAGGGTTAGGTACGTCTTTTGGGGGTTCCTCTTCGGATTTCCCCTGATAATATGGGTCCTCTTGGATCCCATATCTTTGCGTCCTACGCATATCCCATTTACGATCATCACGCTCATCCTCTGAAAGAGGAGCCTTTTTGTCCCAGCATGCACCATCATTACGTGGTTTGTCAGTTTGAAAATACTGCCTTTTCACACCTGTTTTAGGAGGAGGTGTCAACGCACTCCGTCCTTCCATTTCTAGGCAGTGGGGTTTAACCTTTACACCAGGAAACACTTCTATGGGCGTCTTAGAACATGTCTCGAACACATTCACTGCACACTGTTGCATTATCGGTGGAGGAGACCTGTTCAGGTCTGTTCCTACCACTTTAGGTGAGGGTGGATTAAGAGCAGGAGGTGCAACAACATCTGTCTGGGGTGGTTGTGGCTGACCCGGACCCTGACCTTGTTCGTCTCTGAGTCCCAGACCAGCTCGCCCCACGTCAGAAATCTTGTTTGTTGCTGCAGCCAGTTCCTCCTCACAAGCTTTCAGGCGTTCCTGTGATGTCCGACATTCACCTTGTAAATGCCGACAATGATGGAGCAATACCCCTTTCATCAGTGTGCAATCCTCAAGTTGTGTTTTAAGCACATCTTTAGCATCCCTGGCTTCAGATAGTGATGCCTCAAGTAATTGTATTTTGCTGTTCATTGAATCAACTTCTGCACGTGCATATTGCTGTAATTGAAACATCTGTTCATAATGTTTCCTTGTGAGGACCTCGTGTTCACTTTTAAATTGAAGGAAGTGTTCTTCAATCTTCTGAACCACCTCTTTTTCACTGTATAACCTTAGTGCAAGGTCATCAGCTTTCCTAACAACTGCATAGAATGATTCTTTCAGCAAAATTGCAATTCTAGCCAGCTTTTCATAACTTGACATTGTAATTTCTGTAGAGGTCACAACTTCTGCAACCTCCATCAGATCGTCCAACAACTCTTTTGGGTTCATGCAGTCCGCCCGTTTGCCATATGGATGTAAGGAAGCTGTCAGCAGCGCTAACGCATCTTCCAAACAGTCCTTTATCCCATAAGGATCAAAGTCTTTTTCCCTGACACCTGTCATGGTTATTCACCGTTCAGCACTTTTTCCGGATAAAACAATTGCCAGCTTCAGATATTTTTACAGGTAAATAATTGTATTCAAATGTCAATGAGTTTCACACTATTTCAGCTTTGGGTTTACACAAAAGTACTGTTATAAGTCTACTTATTCAAATGTGAGCACCTGCCTCAGGTTTTACCCCAATTCGTGAATATTTAAGTAAATGCTTCCATGCAGTGTTACTTGTATGTGCTTATTTTTCAACAGATACTAGATTACCAAGCGTCTCAGTGTCTTCCACTCTAAAGCACTGAATTTTTATAAACCTGCAATTTCTCTTTTTAGTCTCACAGCACATCAGTTTAAAAATGTTTTTAAACCGTTTACTTCCAGAAATTCGCTATTTTAAACAGTTACTCATCAACCCAGGTGGGTGAAAAGAGAAAAGAAAATTGATGATGAGGAATAATCAGGCTTTTTTCAGAAAAACTGTACTCCTTTCTCCTGCCAATCTTCTATTTAAAATTAAATAGGAGATGTAATTGTTTAGGTGGTAAATAAAATCAGAAAAGTCTCTTTTTCCTGATATATTTACTCTTATTTAGTGATTTAGCAATTAAACGTGCATTATCTTTTAGCAAATGAGTAAACTTTATCAACTCTGTGAATATCTGAAACTGTACCTTTTTTGTTAAAAAGTTTCTACCTTTTATTTTGTACCTTCTCAATGAGGACTTACCAGTGAATAAAGGTTTGTTGGTAAATGCCTTTCCGCATAAATACCTTAATTCTTTTTAAATGCAAGATAACAGTGATTATTCAGCTTTGTGGAACGTTTATTAACTCAAAAATGCCTTACAGAAATAAAAAAACATTTAATTTCACTCAAAATACCTAAAACTGAAGTGAAACTGTGATCTCAAGTTTCCCAGGAGGGGGCAGTGTTTAGCTTTCTACCAGCAGGAGTCTATGACGAATTCCTGTGACGTTCGGTTGACATCCTGTTTTTAGCCGCTTAGCTTAAAGTTAGCTTCGGCTAAACTCGGTTAAAATCAACATTTCTGAACGGTTGAAGCGTAAACGTGGCGTTTTCTCAACAAGCACGACTTTTTTGCATGAAACATGAGTTTTAGGGGCATGTGGCAAGTTACATTTAGTGATTTTAAGCACAGCAAAGCTTTTGGTTCAACCAAGCTTTACTTCCGACATGGAGGAAGTGACGTGACACGTCACTCACCCGGTCGTTAGCTGTTAGCTTAAAATTAGCATCGCTAGCGTCGTTCAAAAACATCATTTAATGACCGATTTTAAACTCAAACGTGGCAAAAATCCAGCGATTACACTTTGAAGATTTAAGCAGTGGATCAGAATCAACTTTAAAGCGTTTTTGAACTTTAAAAAGCAGATTTTATTCCCTATGAAAAACGAGTTTTCATTTCCGGGTCACGTGACTGAATCCATCAATGACAAAGCAGCACGGGGGTGAGAGGAAATGACGTAGGCACGTCATTCACTTCTCAGCAAATCAGAGCGCTCCACAGCAGCTAATTCAACCAATCACGCAGCGTTTTTCCCAGCTAGCATGTTAGATTTATCTGAACAAGTCCGTCAACTTTTTCGTCTTTTAAACTGTCAAAATGCACTTTTTTCTGTTACAAGTGTAATCAATAAGCTCCCAGCTGCACGGAGTCGGCGCCCCGGTCTCAAAAACGTCTTTCTAGCTATTTAAACAACTCGTTCGAACTTTTTCAGAACCGAGCCGGTACCAGAACCACGTCTGAACCGTCTTTAAGCAGAATAAAGCGTTTCCACACAAATCCAGCTTAGTTACACATAACAGACGTACAATTTCAGCTTTCATAAAGACATATGACTCACAAATTCAGCTTCAAAACATTGCCAGCGTAAACATGCAGCGTTTTGACTTCAAGCGTTGCGTTTCAGCACGCTGCGTTCAACAAAGCTACACTCTGCTATTTCTTCATGCCAACACGTAAAATCAATTATTACACGCATACACAGTCCATTTATGAGCACGTTACGGGCCACCAATAGTAGTAGTAACGTACGGACGGGCCACCAAAATGTAGATGAACAGATGCTGAGATATATTCATCAATTAAAACGGATTCTTCATTTTTCTGGACTGAATAAAACGTGCATTGAATTTAATGAAATGTAACGTGAGACGTCATTTTTCTTTGACCCATCAAAATGAATGCGGTCATTTATTTTACAGAATCAAAGTTTAACATCAAACATTTACATTAATTTGGCAAAATATGAAAATAACAACAACATAATTAATCAG